GATTGATGGATTGATCGGCTGACCAAGAAATTACAAGCCCTGGGTGTCAGATTGATTTAACTTATGAACCACGAGCCTGCAGGAGGATGGGACCTGAATCAGAGTGAAATCCAAAATCCAAAACCAGGAGAGGGCCTAGAGAAGCCAGAAGAGAAGCTGGTCATGTGAAATGACCCAATAGTCTGTGGGCCAAATCCAGCCCTCCAATGTTTGTGTAGTCAAGCTAAGAGTGGTTTTTATATTTGTAAATCATTGAAAAAAAAAAAAAGGAGTATTTAGTCACAAGTAAAAATTACATGTCCGTCCATGAAGTTTTATTACAATGTAACCATGCCCATTAGTTCCTGTATTGTCTGTGATTGGCTGCTCTTCCACTGCCTCCACAGAGTTGAGTAGCTGTTACAGACAAAAGTGTTGACAATCTGGCCCTTTACAGAAGAAGTTTGCTAACCCTTGCTCTTGTTCACTCTTTCCTTAAGAATGAGGATGTGGTCTGGTCAAAGAGACAACACAGGTAAATAAAAGAGAACTTCTTGAGTGTTTCCCAATGTGCTTCAACAGGTGGCAGCTTATTTAGTCCTCACAGCAGCCCTGTGGATGAGAAACAGAGACAAACCTGCTAAAGGTCACCCAGTTAGAAAGTGGTGCCACCAGCCAGGTATGGTGGCTCACACCTGTAATCCCAGCACTTTGAGAGGCCGAGGCAGGTAGATCACCTGAGGTAAGGAGTTTAACAGACCAGCCTGGCCAACATGGTGAAACCCTGTCTCTACTAAAAATACAAAAAATTAGCCGGGCATGGTGGCAGACGCATGTAATCCCAGCTACCTGGGAGACAGGCAGGAGAATCGCTTGAACCCAGGAGAATCGCCTGAACCCGGGAGGTGGAGGTTGCGGTGATCTGAGATCGTGTCATTGCACTCTAGCCTGGGCAAGAGTGAGACTGTCTCAAAAAAACAAAAAACAAAACAAAACAAAACAAAAAACATAGTGGCACAAGGATCTGCACCAGATATCACAATGAACCAGGACAGTGATAACAATCCAGAGAAGGGGCTGAATACAGTGCTGCAGATGGTCAGAGGAGAGTGGTGGCAGCTAAGTAAGACTGCGAAACGGGTATGCTGGAGCTGTGGAGGAAGAGCCTTCCAGGTGGAAGATGTCCTGTGGGTAAAGGAACAGGGGCTGAGAACAAAATGTAAAGAGATTCTGGTTGGAAAAGACACTTGGGGCCAAGCCATGGCAGTTCCTAGTGCAGGGTGTCAAGAATGAATCAGGACTCTGGGCCTAGACTGCCAGACTCAGAGCATCATCGTACTGCTGACAGCTGTGTTATTAGGCACAGGGGCTAAGAACTGCTCAATTGTAAAAGCAGTTCATACCTCTTTGGGTGAATGTGAGGGCAAACTGAATTAATATGTGAAATGTGTTTAGAAAGGTGCCTGCTCTGAAGAGTTAGATTTGGGGGTTCCCCAAGGCTGCTAGAGAAGAAAGACAGAAAGAAGGAACAGAGTGGGCCAGAGGAACAGCTGAAGTTTATCCCACTCTCACAGAGCCTGGCTTTCCACCCAACACCTGATGCACATTGTTCATCCTAACTGCAACCATTGTAAGGGTGAGACTCAGCCAGGCCTGTCATCCCCTTTACAGATAAGAAAGCCCAGCTTTGGAAAACTGGCTGAATTATAAACAGTTTCTCAGAAAGTATGTCTTGAGACTGGCCACAACCTACCAGGCCCCCAGGTCCCACCTTCTCTTGGCTATTAGTGGTCAGATTTCTCCATAGTCATATTTGCTGGGATCCCTTGGTGCCACAAGCTCTCCCTCACCTCCACAAGGCAGGGAAAGGTAATCACACAGAGGGAGATGGGCACAGTGCCCCAGTCTTGGCCTGTTCTTGGCTTAGGCTCTTAGCCAGGGGCTGGACTGATTCCATAGTGTGGCACCTTTACTGGGGTCAAGTCCACCTTCACTTCAGTGGGGCCCAAGGTTGCTGAGAGTGGGGTGCATGAATGAAGAGCATCCTCACTTACACAGGATATCTGAGCCCTTCCTCTGGCACTTACTCTGATCTTCAGTGCCTTTTTTCTCCTGAACTATGTAGGCCCTTATCCTGGGGACCTGGCAAGGTAGTAAGAGTCTCCTCTGTGCCAAGCATGGTACCAGGTATTTACATGTGCATAAAGACACTATCACTGGGAGCTTAAGAATAAAGGCTGATGATAAGGCAGACCTGAGTTTGAATCCTGACTCTTAGACTTATGTGTGACCCAGGGGAGTTCCTCCATCTCTCTTACCGTTTCCTCATCTGCAAGAGGGGGATGATAATAGAATAATGGAACCAGCCTTACAGGTTGTGCAGAAGATTAGCTCATGATGATGGTCTCTTTTGGTTTTCACAAAAGACATCATGAGGAAATAGGCTCAGAGATTTAGGGATTTCCCCAAGGTTGGCAGGGAGCAGATGGTGAAGCTGAACAGCCAAAGCTCAGATTCTTCTTGTTATTTGTTGTTTTGTTTTTTTTAGAGTTAGGGTCTCACTCTCTTACCCAGGCTAGAATGCAGTGGTGCAAATCATAGCTCATTGTGACCTTGAACACCTGGGCTCAAGCGATCCTCTTGCCTCAGCCTCCTGAGTAGCTAGGACTACAAGCATGCACCACCATGTCCAGCTGTTTCTCATTTTTTGTAGAGATGGGGTCTTATTATGTGGCCCAAGCTGGTCTCAAACCCCTGGCCTTAAGTAATCCTCCTGCCTTGGCCTTCCAAAGCTCAGGCTGCCAGGTGAGCAGTACTTTGGAACATGCAACAGCCTGTTTGCTCTGTTGTTCCCTCCTATGTGACAGATACTCCTTTCTAATACCTATGGTCCCTACTTGTCCATAGTCATGTTCACAGGTCTCCAGGGAGCAGCCCTAAAATGAGTTCAAGAACTTGGGCTGGCCCAGTCAAGTCCATGGTTGAAGCCAGTTTCTCTACTTTTAACACTCGGTGGTTGTGACCAGGTTCCGTGGTGGTCACAAAGCCATATGTCCACAGGGTCTCCACATGCTAGGGTCACCCTTTCCTTCAATACATCAAATGGCCTAAAGCCTCAATTCCACACAGTCCACAAAGCCCAGCAGCTTTCTAAGGATTTTGTGTAAATGGCTTAGAGTTTTTTGTTTTGTTTTTTTTAATTCACCTGAGAGTCTTTACCTTTACACCAGAACAATGTAATTCTAGGAAGGGTGCAGTGGCTCACCCCTGCACTTTAGGAGGCCGAGGCAGGCAGACCACCTGAAGTCAGGAGTTCGAAACCAGCCTGGCCAATGTGGTGCAACCCCATCTCTACTAAAAACAAAAACTAGGCTGGGAGCGGTGGCTCACACCTGTAATCCCAGCACTTTGGGAGACTGAGGTGGGCAGATCACTTGAGGTTAGGAAATTGAGACCATCCTGGCTAACACAGTGAAACCCCGTCTCTACTAAAAATACAAAAAATTAGCTAAGCGTGGTGGCACGCACCTATAGTCCCAGCTACTCCGGAGGCTGAGGCAGGAGACTTGTTTGAACTTATTAGGTGGAAGCTGCAGTGAGCCAAGATCATGCCACTGCATTCCAGCCTGGGCGGCAGAGCAAGACTCTGTCTCAAAAATAAATAAATAAATACAAAAATTCGCCAGGCATGGTGACACATGCCTGTAATCCCAGTTACTTGGGAGGCTGAGGCATGAGAATTGCTTGGACATGGAGGTGGAGGTTGCTGTACTAGATCATGCCACTGCACTCCAGCCTGGGTGACAAGAGCAAAACTCCATTTCAAAAAAAAAAGTAATTCTGATACCAATGTGGGTCTAAAAATTTTTGTGCTGTTTGTTCCCCTAGGTCTGTTTTTCTCTCCTTTACCGTTGTTTGTTTTCTTCTTGCTTGGAGGTTAAATGCTGTCTCTATCCTTTTAGGGGTTTCTTTCTTCCCTGAGATTTCTCAAGATGCCCAGGGTTGCTTAAGTCTGCCTGTCCCCTCCTTTTTTCTTTCTTTGAGATGGAGTTTCACTCTTATCACCCAGGCTGGAGTGCAATGGCATGATCTTGCCTCACTGCAACCTCTGCCTCCCGGGCTCAAGCAATTCCCTTGCCTCAGCCTACCAAGTAGCTGGGATTACAGGTGTGCACTACCACGCTCAGCTAATTTTGTATTTTTAGTAGAGATGGGGTTTCACCATGTTGGTCAGGCGGGTCTCAAACTCCTGACCTCAAGTAATCCACCCACTTCAGCCTCCCAAAGTGCTAGGATTACAGGTGTGAGCCGCCAGGCCCAGGGGGCTTGTCCCCCTTGTTCCTCATTCTTATTCCCATTAATTATCCATCGTGCTTGCTTCTTGCTTCCTGTTTGTTGTTCTTTCCTCTTCTTCACACACTCAACACTAACATGCACCAACCTTTTATTTAACATCAGGTAGATAACATGGTAGAGGAGACAAGTTGCTGAGCTTCTTAAAGCCCCTGGCCATGAGGAGTCCCTGCTCACATCTCTCCTCAGATGATAGGTGGGTAGGCTATGTCAGATCCCCTCTACAAGTCTTCTCTCCCAGAGCCCCACCCCACTTCATACCCCCCTGGTTCAACCTACTCACCCCCGTGCTGTCACTATTCCTTCACCTTGCCCAGTTTTTCTCCTTGCATTTCTCATTATCTGAATTCATATTTAAATTGTCTGTCTCTCCCATTAACCCTCACAGCAGTGTCTTGTTCACCATTATATTCCAAGAGCATGAAACCATGCCTGGCATACAAGCAGTGAAGACAAAAACTGAGTATTTTGTTGAAAAAATGGGGGAATTCTGGCATTCTGAGTCTTCAGTGCGACTCTCTACCTGTCAATCCCAGTGGAACTGGTACAATGAAGTGGAAAAGGGGTCTTCTGGGCTCCCACTCCCACCCCAGGTGCTGGGGTATAGACTGCCCACCTCTGTGTCCCAAAGACCCCACAGCTGAAAAACTGGACTCAAGGGAGCAAGGAGAGTAATTGTACTAACATTTTTAATACAGTCTGATCAGATCAATTCACATCACAAGGTCAACCTGGGCTTGCTCACATGTGGCACAACTGAGGTACACATTGTCCCTGCCTGCTGGCTCTCCTACCTCCCTGGCTCCCAACACCATTGAAACCCCCTACTTCCCTGACCAGACTGGCATTTTTTTAAATTTTGCATAAAACTATTTCTTCCATAGACTTCAAACAATCAACTAGCCAAGTTAATTATGGTACATCTAAACAAAGTTTAATACTAACCCTAATGTGTGACTGCGGTTTACAAAGAGCTCTGTATCACCTGGGATAGCTTTCAGTAGCAATTCACTACAACTGGTCCTAAAAAATAATAACAATAATAATAATAATTAGAGAATTAAAACCCAACAGCAAGTTGAATGGTTAAAATCACGTAAGAACTGAAATTTGGGGTGGGGGTGTCCTCAATACCTGAGCTTGTCCTTGCAGTGAAAATGCTTGCCTCTAAGCAGGGCTCAGAAAGGTCTGGAGTCCTCCAGGCAAAGGGCTGAGCTCAGGGGGGCTCTCAGAGGACACTCACCCCATGGTCCATGGATGCTGAAGGCTTCTAGCTTCCTTAAAAACAGTTGGGCATCCGCATTGTTTAAGTGGGTGGAGACCCTAGTGTGGTTCTTTTGAAGGATATGGGTAGGGGTAATGAGGAATTAGAGAGGTGGGAGAGGACCAAAAGCACTGAGGTCCCCGAATACCATAGATTTGGGTATAGGATTGGGGTCACTAAGAATTGAGCACCAGGAATTCCAGCTTCTGCCCGTTAGAGAAACTGGGACTGGTTTTGCCTTGGAGGCCTATGTAGTGTTTTATGCCCTTTTCCCATACTGGGTCTCATTGATATTTCTGCAGAATATCAGATGAAAATCTATTTCTAAAGACCACTGGGAGAATGGGTGGTGGAGCAGTTGGGGTAGGGTTGGGGGATAGTTAAAAATGAATAAAAATCTCTCAGCTACAGAACCCAAAGACATCACTTCCCTCCGCATTCACAGCATTTCCCAACAGTCCCCAAATGGCTGTTTCCGTGGGGACAGAGCAGCTGCCTCATTTCCCTTCAGGCCCCATGGGCTGCTGGTCAACCTCAGGATCTACTAAAGATGACGCAAACGCCGACTGAACAATCTGAAACCCAAAGGACTCAAGGAGAGACATGTTCTGCTGAGGAGAAAAAGGTGAGCCAAGGGCAGGGCCCAGGTCCCCCAAGGGGCCCCCAAGAGCCCGGACATGCACCTTCTGGATATGTTTGTTCAAGTAGGACTTAGAGCGGAAGAAGCTCCCACATTCAGGGCATGGGTATTTCTTCTCCCCATCAGACTCCATTTTGTTTTTGGGGACTGCCATGTCGCAGGAGAAAGAGCCATTGGCACTCTGCTTCTCCGGCGTCTTCAGGTCGCTGGCATCTGAGAGGTCACCATAGGAGTCAGAGCTCTCAATCGGATCCTGATGTGAGCATTTCTGGCCTTCTACAAAAAAACAAAATACAGGAGACAGATGAGGCCAGGTTCTGGAGATGCCCCCTCCTGGAGGGGTCATGAGGGGCCAGCTCACAGACCTGTGGAGGGCAGCCGTTGGCCAGCCACCACCCTGGCAGAACCCAGAGAGGGTCAGCTGGTCAGTCTGGGAGCTTGGAGTGCCTAAAGGGGTAAAATGGCAGGGCCCTAGGGCCACCAGCCTCCCTTGCTGTGAACTCTTCATGCAGCTGCACATATACTGCTCACCATCAACTCAGCTTGCTTCAAGGAAGGGATACAGAGAGGGCACCTCTACTACTGCTGTCCAGAACAACTCAAAGACCCCCAACTCCTAGGCACTCTTTTGGGTGCCTCTAGGAGTAAATCTGGTATTCTGATGATGCCGAACCAGTGTAACAGTGGCCTTGTCTCCTACACCAGACTAGCTACACCCTAGCAAGGCAGGCAGAACCAGAGCCATGAGGTCCTCAATCTGGGTAGACCCCATCAATGGCTCAGACAGAAGCCAATCCTTCTCCTAATGCTGCAAACACAAGCCCTGCCCTTACTGCCTTCCTTCTGCCAAAACCCTTCCAGGGCCAAGCAGCCGAAGCACAGAGATTGAAAGGAACTCTGAACAACTCAATCGGCTGGGTGTCCCTACCCTAGGCCCCAGACAAGCTGGGCCAAGAGACAACCTTGGCTACTCTGCCTTGCCTGGCCCACACTGGAGTCCTCCACCAATTAGCAGCTTCCTGCCTGGGTCCAGAGAGCCATGCCGGGAAGGGAGGTCTGTGATGGGAGCATGGAGCATGCCATCTCTGCTGCTTCTACCATATGCCAAGCCCCTGGCCTCATCCCCAAGGCAACGACAATGTGACATACCACAAAACGACCTGAATCAACAAGTGAAGGTAGGCCTGGGGAGCTCTCCACAAACCAACTCCCAAGTCAGAGGAGTCAGATAGCTCATTATTGCCATGCATCTCACAACCACAGCCAGAGGCTCTCCAGAAAGGGCCACTCACAGCAACCAATCATCCCTATTGTGAGAGAAGCCAGACATTGGCTCCCACCGGCCTACTGGGTCAAAAGAGGAGAAAGCATTCAGCCACAGTTCCACACCATCCTAAAGGGCAACAGGCAGTGGACAGGCCCAGAGTGACTCATCATGCAGGGCTCTTCTTCTGCCCAGGGCCTGGGGCATCCCTGCAGGGCTCCAGACGGTGAGGGCTGGCCAGGAGGAAGGGAGGAGGGCTGGGGAAGCGGAGGCGGAGGCTGGATCTTGGCAGTGCCCTAAAGCCTCACTCACTGCCCTGGAGTGGGATACCCACTGTGACTTTTGTCCTGGAGGCCACTGCCACTGAGATCTCTGAACCTCCTCAAGGCAGCCAGAAAGCCGGCAGCCTTCCCGCCTCCCCACGCCCAGCCCAGCGCCCCCACAACACAGTCTGCGCAGAGAAGCAAAGTGCAGAGCAAGGGGTCGCTTGCCTTTGTTGCCATAGGTCCTGGCGCAGTGGAACGCTGCTCCCCCATTCAGGATGGGCTCCTGGTGCCTGGAGACCTGGGGAAGGGGAACACCGTGGTGGGTTTTAACATGGACCTTTAAGTAGGAGGCAGAGGAGAAACCTAAACAAGACAAAAGGAGATGAGATCCCGAGGCCGGCAAGAGATACCTCTCTCCTTCCCCCATGCCTCTCCTCCGGCCGCACTGGCTAGCATTCCCAGGTCAGCTGCACCTAGAGGGGGCCCCCTCCTTGGCTCAAAAATGGCTGCAACCACATAAGCCATGTGGCTCAGGATGGAGGCACCGTCCACAAATTGGCTTCTCTGCAGAGCCCACTCTGCAAGGCTGCGGTGAGAAGCCTAGGCTGGCCGCCTGGTGGGATGGCCTGAGATCCTGTTCCTGCTAGGGCCAGAGGCCCTCTGCTTCTAGGCTTGCTTGATGCCTCAGTAACAGGTGGTTTGAGTGGATGTCTCCTGCAGGAACCATGACTAGAAATGTGGTTACACAAGAATTTGAGGCTCCAGGGAAACCACAGGATTCTAGCCAGCAGGATGACTGCTTAATCCTTGTAAAAGGAAACTGGACAACAAACGAGATGGAGGTAAAATGAATCCCAATGGAACGCCTCCAGGGATCCCATCTTCTACCTGTCAGGATATGTTCTATTTTTCTAACTTCCTCACCTTCAGCATAACAGGATTTAGTAACTGTTTAGATCTTTTGAAGAACAAAGACAAAAATAGGAAGTTGTATCAAAGGAGTGCGGTCATCTCTTATTCATGGTAGTGTTTTGGTTTGATTTTGGAGCATCCACCAGGTTCATGTACAGGAGAAGAAATGGGAATGTTCTTTGTCTTTATTTTGTGGGGAGGACAATCCAGCCATCGTGGGACTATTCCAGCCCACCTCCAATATGCTTCGGTCAGTTTGAGCCACAAAGAGTAGATCTTGAGCCAATTTCCACAGCAGCCACGAGTCCAAGGATACAGAATCAGGCAGGCCGATAAAAGGATTTTGTGTTGGACTTCACAGGAAGGAGGTATGCCATCGAACCCCACTGTGGTCAAGGATCAGAAGGTGCCTTTAGCAGGAACTGAAGCTTTTTAGTATAAGGCCCACTTAGGGTGCCAGTGCCCTGACAGTGTCCCTTTAATCCACTTCAGATCAGGTTGACTCATTATCAGGTGTTTCCATTCACTTTTAAAATTACACCATCACAGGATAACAGTGAGATCCACTGCTAAAGGGTCAGAGGCTGAAGAGTACTATGTCTGTCTGCACAAGATTTGTTTTAAAAAAGTCTGAAATGGCATGGCATTTTGAATGCCACTCAAACTGTAATAAAGGTTCACCTTTAGCAAATGCTGATGGCACACCAGGGCCCAGCACACCACACCCACTATTCTACAGAATTTGCCCAACACCCTATGTGCTACAGATCACTATTATGCCCATTTCACAGATGAAGAAATAAGAGGCTTGGTGAGGTTAAGTAACCTGGTTACACATATAGATACTAAGTGGCAGAGCCTAGAGTCCAACCCCAGGATCATGTGCCACCAGAATTTGGCCCTTAGCTACCGGGCAGATGCTTTAACCCACATGTCTCATGTTCCATTATTGGAACCCTAAACTTGTAGGTGTTATTTATATCCTACTGCTCAAGATCATAGTCAAGGTCTGATTTTCACAAAAAAAATTTGCAGCCTCCAGCATAAACAGGTTATTGGTTCCTGTGTCTTAGCCCTGAGCCCTAGAAACATCCAGTGGACTTTTGCAATAAGTTTCATTATCACCATTTATACTCATGTATTCTTCTGCCATAATGGTAGGTTAGAATGGAAGCTGCTGGAAAAACAGGGCTGGCCTGTGGGAACTTTATTTAACAAGTACTCCTCTGACAGCAGTTAGTGGTTCTGAAGGGAAATGTGGGGTTGGGCCAATTTTCCTTCCTTTCCCAGTACAGCTATTTCAAATATCTGTCTAGACCAGATGCTAGTGTCCTGCCCTGCCCAGTAGAGCAAACTGTCCTGTGCCATGACCGAAGTGGTCTGCCTAAGGCTGATCACAGGTATAGATTAGTCTAAGAGGGTCCCATGTAGATGTCCCTAAGAGGGAGGCTGTAATCAGGAGTGAGGAGACAAGATTAATGGGAAAGAGGCTCTTAGCCCTGCCCCTTGGGGTGGTACTATGGAGTACCCCCACAACAAAGCAGAACCAGGAGACATTGGCTCCCATCAATCAGCACAAGATATCAGAACTTTCTGGTAATATGATGATATCACTTTAGAAGGGATTTTTTTCCTTTGGTTTTTAATCCCTTGTGAGGCCTCTAAAGTAGCAAGAAGCTCTCCCCATGATGAACCAGAGCAGGTCCGCTGCAATCAAAGGGGACAGAAAGGAGTGGGAGAGTACCAGGAATTATTATGTTTACTCTTTACTGGGAGAGCTATACCAGGAGAACACAGCAGATCCTCAATAAAAACTTGCTGAGTTCAACTGGGCACGGTGGCTCAGGCTTGTAATCCTAGCACTTTGGAGGCCTAGGTGGGTGGATCACTTGAGGTCACGAGTTCGAGACCAGCCTGACCAACATGGAAAAACCCTTTCTCTCCTAAAAAAATACAAAATTAGCTGGGTGTGGTGGCGCATGCCTGTAATCCCAGCTACACAGGAGGCTGAGGCAGGAGAATCACTTGAACCTGAGAGGCGGAGGTTGCGGTGAGCTAAAATCACACCACTGCACTCCTGCCTGGGCAACAAGAGTGAAACTCAGTCTCAAAAAAAACTTGCTGAGTTTTCCTGAAAAACAGTCTGAGAAACACGTGGCTGAGTCCTCTTGACTTTACCCCAGCTGCAGACTGTACTATCTATAGCAAAACCACATGGCGGGGTGGTAGGAGTGGATCCACAGCTGCCACTTAAAGCCTAGAATTTAAACACAGAGCAACTCAGCAGCCAAGTGTTAGGATGAAACAGAAGCTGAGTTTCTGAGCAGAATATATCTTTGAAGCCAGACATATTTAGCCAGAATTCTAAACTTACCCACCCATTCACCACTGATTAATCAAGAGCCAAAGAGGCAGCTTGATCCAGCCATCCACGCAATGGAGATGCTGAGCACACATGTGACTGCAACTACAACCAATAAGCCACAGGCTCTTTCACTCCAGAGATGACAGGCTTATTAACAAAAGGCCACTGCTCCTCAGTTGCATTTTCTTGCCTGTGTGCCTGCACTTGGCACTTCAGAAGCAAATCATCTTTTGGCAGATTCCACATCCATGCAGGGGTTTGGGGACTGCTTTCTCCTTGTCCAAACCCTGAAGAGGCCATCCCCAACTGCACTGTGTTGGAGTGGGCCTACGTAGCTTTATCTGAGATCAGGAGAACAGCAGGCTCTCTGCATCCCTCCACTTGTGTGCTCACCTCTGATGGGAGAAGGCTTCCTCTACCTTTCAATCAATGATGTTTGCATCCAAATGTCTCTGTCAAAGGCAGATTCCTGATAACATATTCCTCTTCCTCATACCAACACATAGGCATATATACAAAGATCCTGCTACAGAAATTTTAAAGGAAGAAAATCATGGTGACCAGCCAGGGCCTTCTCCTTTTCAACTGTTAACTGATTTCCTCAACTCGAAAATGAGGGAACAAGCTTTTCTAGCCATAATATTCCCTCTACTGCAAATGATCTTCCTCTACAAATAGTATCATACACATCCTGATATGTCTGTATGACAAAGCCAGAGTTATCTGTCTCTCATCAACTTGCATCGGACTCACATGTGAGGCTGCAGGAGTCAGGCTGCCTTCCCTCTTTCCCATTCTTCACAGCCAGGAGTCGTTTTTGTGGCAAAGACTGAAAAAGACAGATCTATAGGTAGATACTCAAGTCAACTAAGAATTGTTGGGACTGAACGATCTGAAGGCACCTCGAAGTTCACCTGATTCAATCATAACTGTTCTAATCAGCTGACTGACATTTAGCCTTTGCTTGAACGCATGCAGAGAGATAAAAACATTCATTTATTCGTGCAACTCCTCTGATAGGTGTAGGCTTGGTGGCAGCAGGGCAAAGGAGGACACAGAGCTCTCTGTTCTGATTCCAATGTCTTAATCTCAGTGTTTTTGGTGCTCGGAAAGAACCTTATCCTCGTCCTTTTTTTTTTTGTCTCTTCTTATTTCTGCCCAAGGAATGAGTCCAGGAGTAGAATCCAGCTCCTCCTCTTCTGATAAAAACTGCAATTGTTTTCTCTTCCTTCTGAGTACCCAGCATGGGTTGGACCAGAACCTTCTTCAGTCTTCTTGCAGGAAAGGAACTTCCCACTCTGGCTCTGGGACCAAAGACGTTTGGCCTGTGATCAGATCCAGTCTTGGCTTTTCTGAGAAAAAGTAGACTCTGGTTTACTCCTCTAGATTCTCCATTCCAGTCATGTACCTTATGGCTGTTGCCAAGTTCTCTTTACCAGCCCTTAGAAAAGAAATCCTGACGTACAATAGTTGTTGGCTTTGCGACATCAGCTGCCTCCTAACTGGGCCAACTTTCCCACTATCCCTGCTGCTCTCAGTTCTTCTTTCCTCCTGAGCTGGGCTCCGAAGTGCTGTGGCCCTGGATTTCCTGTCCAGTTCCTGCCCTACTCCATCATCTGGGCTGGGCTTTCTGAGTTTTATCATGAGCACCCTTCTCCACTCAACAATTTTCAGCCTCTGGTCTCTGACCCCAGTTCTCAGACTGGGAACTTCCACATTGAAAACTTGGTAAAATCCCTGTTCCAGCAAGTTTTGAGTTATCTGGGGGAGCTGTCAGGAAGCCAGGTTAGGATGAAGCAAGACAAGAAACAACATCTAGGGCTGCAGCAGCCTCAGTCAAGACAGTCAGCCATAGCCCGATAACTCTCCCTACATGTGCAAGCCCACCGCTTGCAACCTTGGAGGAAGCTCCTGTCAGAAATGGGCTCTACTGAGATGTCAGAAAACAGAACAGACAGCTTAAAAGGCCTTTACTAATACCTCCCTGCAGGTGTCCTGGTGGTACAAACTGCAGGTATGAAGCTGCAAGGAGGGACCCAGTTCCAGGACACCAAGAACACCCAGCTACTCAGCAATCTCCTTCCACCGTGGACCTCAGGGCACATGAACACAGCACAGGCACCCAACAATTCCACCAAGGCCTGCAGAAGTGTTGTGCCTGGTCCAACCCAGAGTGTCAACAAGCATGTCTTTCCCAACATCGTTACAAAGTGCAAGGACAGGGCCTCCAAAGTGTGCAGCTCCTTTCACCTACCTTGTCTCTTGGGATCTTCATAATAGCCCTGTGAGGTGGGAAAGGGGGGTATTCTTAACCCCATTTGAGAGAGAAAGAAACTGAAGCTTAGCGAGGGAATGGGAGAACTCAAGGCCACCTAGTGAGAGGCTGACACAAAACTCTGGGTCTCTTGATTCCTGGTTCAGTGCTCAACCCGCTAAGCCATACCGGAGGCTCTCAGAAGCATTGGGACAAGCAAAAACGCCCCAGGAGATAAGGACATCCCAGCAACCTCCCCACCTGGTCAAAGCAATGCACACCATGCAGAAGCATCCTCATGTTCACAGACAGCTGCTCCGACCTCCTTTACCACAGACACAGCGCAAGCCTCCACTGATGCTGTGCTTGCCAAACAGAAACATCTAGCACTTCCAGCAGCCAACTAGACCCGGCAGAACCTTGCGGGCAGGCTTGACTTCACCCAACACGACACCACTGCCACAAAGTTAAGACACTACCTAGGCCCACCTTGTCCTCAAGCACACTGCCCTGTTCAGAGTACCTTCCACTTTCATCTCTCATCAAGGCCACAATCTACCTGAGTTTGGGCTCTCTTCTGACCACCTGTGCTAGCAAATGACTGCTCCTTGGTTATCTCCAGACTCAGCCTCCTTCCCTGGCTGCTGAATTTCATATGCCAGTGAATCAACCAGCAACAAAAGCTCTCAAGCCAGACTGACCTCTTTTTCTCCCACTTTGGGACCTATTAACTCCCTGACCAACCTCAGTAGTTCAGTGGTGTCTGCTAAATGCATCCATCCTGCCACTGAATAGCAGGTGGGAGTTATGGCCCCAAGCTTGGGAAGAACTTCTCTCCTTCCCTTCCAACCTATTGGTCTCCTGGGACCTCCCATTCTAAGCACTCCAAGCTTGGGAAGGAAGGGGTCGCAAATAGCTAGCTGGGTGATGAAGGTGTTTATCATTCAGTGGGAGGGGAAGGGCTGTGTGGAGTCTGAGGGAGGGTCATCAAGACACCCCTAGGCCTCCCATACACGCTCAGGCCCATCCTCTGGAAGTCAGGAAACAGTGAGCAGATTACCTCGGTTACAGATACTGCAGAAGTTGCTGGGCCCCTCACTGTGCTTCTTCAGGTGGTCTGCCATGTATGCTGCCCGCAAGTACTTCCCACACACCTGGCAGGGCACCTTGTCTTCATGACAGGCTAGGTGGGAGCGCAGACGGTCTCGGGTGGCAAAAGAAGCGTTGCAAGTCTGAAGGCAGAAAAGAAAACGGGATGAGGCGAAACCCAGCACACCACACCCGACTGCCCACCAAGTGCACCATGAAGCAAGAGCAATTTCTGGCCATCACATGACCTCCCTTTATAAAGGGAGCTTTAGAGTTTGGCTCAGGCTCTCTACCCAGAATGCCAAGCAGCTGTTCTTATTTCCCATGGTGCCTCCTTACAGGACACTTGAGTGGAAATCACTGGTACTAACTAAATGACTACTGGAAATGTGCCCAGGACATGGCAAGCTAAGTTCTACACCCCTCTACACAATGAAGAGTTACACATTTGCTCATCCTTAGACATTGAGAATTGACTTTAGGTGCACTGACTATAACGCACAGAATTAACATTTACATGAACTTACAGATGAGTTATTGGCATATAAACCAGCCTTCCTGTTTGCTATGCCTGGGTTTTCCCTAGTTGTTTTATACAAAGAATTCTATTTATTCATTTTATTCAAAAGTGACATTAGTCTTGGCCAGGAAAATGGAAAGGAAAGGCAGGACAAAGCACAGAGATAATTCTTCATAATATTCTCATGAGTTTGAATTTAAAAAGCAGCCCATGAAATGATAGTGGCAGCTGGGTGCAGGGGCTCACACTTGTAATCCCAGCACTTTGGGAGGCCAAGCCGGGCGGATCACAAGGTCAGGAGTTCAAGACCATCGTGGCCAACACAGTGAAATCCCGTCTCTATTAAAAATACACTCCAGCCTGGGTAACAAGAGCGAAACTCCGTCTCAGAAAAAAAAATAAAAATAAAAATAAAAATACAAAAATTAGCTGGGCATGGTGTTGGGTGCCTGTAATCCCAGCTACTTGGGAGGCTAAGGCAGGAGAATCACTTGAACCCAGCAGGCGAAGGTTGCAGTAAGCCGAAATTGTGCCACTGTACTCCAGCCTGGACGACAGAGCTAGACTCCATCTCAAAAAAAACAAAAACAAAATAAAACAAAAGTTAGTGGCAATTCTGATGACGTGAGAATTAGCATATAGAACAAGGGCCAGAGGCTTCAAGAGTAAGTTTGTGGGCCAGGCGAGGTGACTCACGCTTGTAATCCCAGCATTATGGGAGGCTGAGGTGGGTGGATCACTTGAGGTCAGGAGTTCAAAAGCAGCCTGACCAACATGGTGAAACACTGTTTCTACTAAATATTCAAAAAATTTAGCCAGGTATTGTGGCAGACGCCTGTTAATCCCAGCTATACTTGAGAAGCTGAAGCAGGAGAATCACTCAAACCCAGGAGGCGCAGGTTGCAGTGAGCTGAGATTGTGCCACTATACTCTAGCCTGGGCAACAAGGTGACACTCTGTCCCAAAAAAAAATAATAACTGGCCGGGCACCGTGGCTCACACCTGTTAGCCCAGCACTTTGGGAGGCCAAGTTGGCCGGATCACCCAAGGCCAGAAGTTCAAGACCAGCTTGGCCAACAAGGCAATATGGTGAAACCTCATCTCTACTAAAAATACAAAATTAGCCAGCAGTGGTGGTGCATGGCTGTAATCCCAGCTACTCAGAAGGCTGAGGCAGGAGAATCTCTTGAACCCAGGAGGAGGAGGTTGCAGTGAGCTGAGATCATGCCATTGTACTCTAGCCTGGGCAAAAAGCAAAACTCCACTCAAAAAAGTGTTTGTGAAACATTAAGCTGGGGAAGTGCTGGTGACAGCAAAGTGCTGGTGGCATACATTGTGTGCCAGGCAGGCACCATGCTCAGCCTTTTAGAGGCACTTATCTCATGCAACCCATCCTGATGGCAGCCCTCTGAGGCAAGCTGTGTGATTACTCTCCAAGAGAGTGTGGCTTTGGAAAGCTGTGGTGTGAGCTGAAAACCAACTCAGAGCCAGACCCCCAGGCTGGATGAGTCAGGAGCTGAAGGTCAGAACCAGCACCCTGAAAGGACCCAGGTTGACAGGACTTCCTGTACCTGAGGACCTGGCTTAGTATCAGTGATCAGTCTCCCAACAACATCCCTTCCTTAGCTGGAACTTACAAAGGCATTCCAGCCTTGGGGATCACAGAATATGGGGAAAGCCCTGAGAAGAGATGTATCTGCTGGCTTTCAAGCTATTTTGGTACCAGGGAGATGTTTGAGGGGTTCTAGTCAATTTTGACTCACTTCTTTTTTTCTGTGTGTGTTTACTGTTATAGAACTGTAAGAAAAAGCAACATTCACCTTCAAATGTGTTACAGATCAAATGGTAACCCACTGAAGACTACCTTGTGCTAGAATGGAACTGCCCCTGCCATCTCTCTTTAACAGAAGCACATCCTGAGAACCTGAGAGCTCAAGGTAAGAGTCTGAACACTGTCACCACATACAGACAGCTAACTATCTCCTTACCGTACAACCAAAGCGAGAAACAAACACATGCAATGCCGTCAAGGTAGAAGACACCACTGTTTACTACCTCAGTCCCAAGAATCTTGTGTACGTTAGCACAGCCTTTCCTAGCTCTTCTGTCATTGTCTTTTTAAGTAAACATTACACATTTGACTTGAATTTGTAGCAATGAAATACGGCTTTTATCTGTTTTATAAATTCAGTGTATTCGTATCACAAATGAGGCAACTAACTTTAGAAGGTGAACTTGCCTAAAACACAAGACTCAGCTACTAAAGAAAGTCTAGCACACCCACCCTCACCACGGCCAGGCCAATACTCTACCAATCCTCCTGGCCACCCTGGGATATTCTGATCCCTCCCAGTTCACAGCTGGGCCAGTGGAGGCCCTGAGAGGATATGAGACAGCTGGACTAAGAACCTGTCCCACAGCCTGTGCTCTTACCATCTCCAGATTCAGGAGAGGGAGCTTCTAGAGAGTGAAAGGTGCTCATACTTTATAACACAGTGTTGTACTTGGCAGCCAGGACTCTAAAAGGGAACGTCGAACAGATTTGTGCAAGGAAATTCCAGCATGTACGTGAGTTAGAAAGCACCATGGGCCAGGCGTAGTATCTCACACCTGTAATCCCAGTGCTTTGGGAGGCCAACGCGGATGTATCACAAGGTCAGGAGTTTGAGAATAGCCTGGCCAAGATAGTAAAACCCTGTCTCTACTAAAAATATAAAAACTAGCCGAGCATAGTGGCAGGCACCTGTAATCCCAGCTACCGGGGAGGCTAAGGCAGAGAAATGCTTGAACCCAGGAGGCAGATGTTGCCGTGAGCCGAGATCACACCACTGCACTCCAGCCTGGGCGACAGACTGAGACTTCTTCTCAAAAAAAATAAGAAAAGAAAAGAAAAAGAAAAAAAAAAAAAAAAAGCAAGCACCATGGATGCTTGCTCTCATGGCAACAGGTGGGCCCCACCCCAGCCAAGGACCTCATGACCCAGTGACAGGCCACAGTGGCAGAAAACACTCAGAGCCTCTACACAGCCCAGCAGTCTATAATCAGTAAACCAGGGCAGAGGCTGCATAAACACTCCACCCCAGGAAAGAGAGGTGCACCTGATGGTTTATTTGGTGACAAGAGTTAGCTTTGCCGGGCAGTGACCCAAAGATCACCCCTCCAATGGTGAGAGAGGGTATGTTCTAAGCCTCAGAACTCACAGGAACAAGTGGATCAAGTGTAAGAAAATGAGGCTGAGGCCAGGTGCGGTGGCTCACACCTGTAATCCCAGCATTTGGAGAGGCCAAGGTGGGCAGATTACAAGGTCAGGAGTTCGAGACCAGCCTGACCAAAATGGTGAAACCCCATCTCTACTAAAAATACAAAAAAAATTAGCTTGCCGTAGTGGCGGATGCCTACAGTCCCAGCTACTTGGGAGGCTGAGGCAGGGGCTGAAAGCACATTCAGGATTCTGTCTTCCACGGTCCCTAGGAGAGGGAGCCACAAGAGAGAGAGGAAAGAGATGCCTGGTTTCTCTTGCCAACCTTCTTTTGGGATCTGTCCTCTAAAGGCTTTGCCTGTCATGCTTTGCTACCTAAAGATGATGGACAGCCAAACTTCAATTATCCACAAGTGGCTTATCCACTTGGAGATTAGCTAAGCAAAATTAAAATCTCAGACCAGGCTGGCTTCCCCCAGCCTGTCCTCCATTGATTATCTCTCAAGGAATGAAAGCTAACTTTCGCCTGAGCAAAGAGAATTAGGAATGTAAATCTGCTGCTGGGGGAAAAAACACAAACATGACAAAAGCTTTCCCTGTGTTACAAAGCCAAGCTAAAGTGATTGTTGGCTTCTCTGTGCCAGGATTGACCCTCTGTGGCTGCAGTCCCCAGGTTTTCTGGGGAGCCTGTGAATGTCCAAAGTCTAGGCACAGCATAAGTTCAGACAACACAGAACATGAAAGAGCTTGGTTACACAACCCAGGAGAGAAGGGGTGGAGAGAGACAGATCTCAAAGGGAACATCCAGAACTTCGATGCTGGGGCCTCAGGAGAAAGGCATTCTTTGTCCTAGAGATAGAAGATAGAGGGAGTCTGATGTGAAGAGAGTGAGCCAGGGGCAGAATGTTGTGACTGCCTGTGGCACTCAGAAGAGCTGCCCTGCCCGCAGCCCTACACTACACCCTGCTGTAGTTAGGGGCCATGCCTGCCAGGTCATGGCCCAGTCTCCCTGAGTGCAGGTCATCACCACTCAACACTATGCCCCAGTCTTGCTGCCTTCAGATTTCCTAAAGCTTTTCTTCCTAAGGATTGAGCAGCTTGGGAATGGGGCCCAAATGGTACCAAGGGCACTGGTGCACACTCCCACCCTTGGTGGCCCTTAAACTCTGGAAGCCTCAAGGGTAGTCTGAAGCGGCCTTCTCCCACAGCCCTGGAAAACTCCTAAGGGCAATGCATTAAGGTTCAGCTCTCTAGGCTTTTCCAGCCCCCTTCTTCTTGAGCATATGCTCATCTCAATTCATCCTTCTCTACCCAGCCCCCAAGAAGTGGTGCCAGTGAAAGCTAGGGAGATCTCAACTGCTCCAGACTACTCTCAGCTTCAGGTTGAACTCCAAGTGGGGGAAATGTCCCAGCCCACTAAGCTCATAAATCCAGCAGTGCCTAGGGCATCTGGGCCAGTTAAAGACATTCAGGCCAAGCCCCAAGGAGACATCCCACTATCAAGCCTGAGGCTTCCTGCCCCTATGGCACCAGTCTCTGGAACTGGCCTCTTTCTTTCTCTCTGGCCTCAGGAGGGGATGAGAGGTATGGACTGTGCCTAGCCAGTGGGGGGCCCAAGGAATGAACTCTCGGAGAGATGTCTCTTCACCTCTGATGTTTTCAGCATCCCCACACCATGCCAAACAGATGCCCCTGCTGTTTAGCCATGCCCAGGCACACCCAGCTAGCCATAGCCAGCCCATAGCACGAGAGCCAGCATGTCTTCACCTGCTGGGTCCCTGTTAGGGAAGTTCTGGCTATGGGGCCGGAGTTGGGGCCAGCAGGTCTGTGAGAGTGTATGTTGGAGGGGCAGGGCAGGAGCGCGTTTGTACACCAAGGGACAGTGATGTCAGTGTTACGACACAGACCAAGGACAAAACACACAAAGCCTCAAATGTTAGAATGAAAAATTTTATCATCACTCCTGTTCACCCTGCAGAGTCTGCGGGGTGCTAAAGGGCACACCAGTGGGATCCCAGGAAAGGGGTCTATATCTGCTTTATCAGCCCCCAAAGCCATATATTGGGGTGGCCCAATATAAAGCTACTCATTAGTTTAGTGCCTGAGCAGACTTGCTAATAAACCTCAAAACACAAAAGTCTACTTCACTAGCCAGAAATGAAAGCAGGAGCTAGATCTGAGTGGGAAGGGCAGAGGGCAGCATGGGTTAACTCTAGCTGGAATTGTGCCAGTCTTCTCCTGGAGTTGGGGGAGGAGTGGTCAGGCCCCAGTCTAGAAACCCCGGGCCTATGGGAAGTGACGCCAGGGAAGGGGAAGCAGATAAGCTAGTGGCTAGTTCCCAGGAAGGCACCAAACTCCAAAATCACACAGGCAAGGACAGATACCCAGGTGTGCCACCTGTGAAAGGGGGGAAAAGGCAAGAGAGCCCAGAAAGAAACTTGGATGCTATAGGGGGGTCCAGAAAGGTGCTCCTTGCTACCCCCATTTGGGGGCTCTGAGATGGGAAAGACTCCAAGTCGCCCAGGGAGGAGCTGGGCATGGTGGGCAGGACCATAACCCTGCTAGCCTCTCCCAAAAGCAGGGGTCTCAGGCCAGCTGCCACTCCTGTTCCCCTCCACTGTCAAACCTCTCCAGGGAGGCGCAGGCTAGCCAACAGGCCACTGGGTAAAGGCCCTGCTGCCCTCTGGGGCAGTCCAGCCCTGCCTCAGATATCCTGGTGGGGCTGGGCAGAAGAGAGCGTTGCTGGAGTGTGCTGGGCCCAGGTTTTCAAGGGCTGGGAATGATTTTTTTAGAGAAAGGGAAAAGGCGGTGTCAGGAACTGAATGGGACGACCTCCACAAAGCAGGCTGGGCAAAGTCCCATGATGGCAGGTCGCTAGGAAGAGGTTCCAGGGGCGGCAGGCCGCTGCTGCTCCCAACCCACACCTGGAAAAAGGGCAGAGAGTGCAGGTTACCCCCCCAGGCCACCGGGCTTGCCCCCACTGCCCTCTGGGCTCCTCCTACTCTGCCCAGGCTGCTCAGCACACTACCTGAGTCAGAATGTATGCTCTGTGATGAGAGAATCAGAGACAGAGAGAGAGAGAAGGCAGCAAGGCAAAGACAGATCCCAGCAGGCCCACCCTGGGTTATCCTCCTCCAGGGAGACTGCTTAGCCCAGCACCTGTGAACACTGTCCACACCTAGCCCCCAGGGGCTCTGCCCTACTTACAGCACATTCATCCCTCCCTGCCAATCTCCCTGAACCCTCTCCCCTTGCCACCAGGATACGGAGAAGTAGGTTGTCCTATCAGAGGCTGTAGTGCGCACCCCACACTCACGGCTCGCCCTCAGTTGGTGGGAACTTGGCACAGGAGAGGGGAGATAACCAAGGAGAAGACAGAGGTGTGTTCACTATCCACACAGGGAGGCTCAGTGGCCAGGAGGGGAAACTCAATCTTCTGGGCACCAGCAGGGCCCCCAGATATTGTTCAAGCAGGTAAGCCAAGGGTGAGAATCTATCTGGTCCAGCCTTCCCTACCTGCTACTTTGCAAAGAGCTCAAGAGAAGAGGAGACTACCTTGCTCTCCAGTCTTCCAGAAACCCTGGCTCAGGATGAGTTAAACAGATGCCAGTGGGAGAGGGGACCACCCACTCCCTACCTCCGACCTCCCTCACTGCCTTGTGCCCTAAGCTAAGGGGACTCAGGAAGAGATCTAACTCAGGTCAGAAAAGGAGAAGAGTGGTTGGCTGGACCACCAGGAGCCCTTTTAAAAAAAACCTGCAGTCCCTACAAACTGCTGGGAACCCACAGCCAGGCCCAGCACACTGCCGCATCTCCCAACACAACATCTGTGCGATATGGCCAACCATCCAAGGAGCCAGCAAACACCAGGAGAGGAAAGCCAAGCAACAGAGTGAAGGCAAAGACAGGGTGGGAACCAGGACCAAGCAACCAGGAAGGGGGAACATCAGCCGTGGGGGAAGGGGGACTGGGGGAAGAACAAAGGAGGAAAGCAGAGGGAGGGTGGAGAGACAGGAGGGGAGGTGTGCAAAGCGGTGGGCAGTCAGCCGGGCCCCCAGCACACACGGCAGCTGGCTCATGGCTGCAACCACAAGAACAGCAACATCTTCAGCCCATTTCTCTGCCCTGGCCCAGCCCCTACCTGACACTTGTGAGGCCGCTCAGAAGTGTGCACCTGCTTGATATGTCCATTCAAGTGATCAGGCCTGGAAAAGAGAGAACCAAGAGGGACTTCAGAAACTTGGCCAGACCTCACCACACAGGCACACATGCACACATGTACACACACTCACTGCTGGAGAGGACTCCCTCTCCGCCACCCCAGCATGACAAAGACAAAGTCACCACCCAGATCTGGCTCCACAGGCGCAGGCCTCTCTGCCCTGGTTTTCTCTGGAGGGGGAAGGGAAGTGGGCACTTGTCTCTGATCTCGCCTCCCCACCCCCTTAACTCCCCCCACCAGAAACTCAATGATTTCTAGGACCAGAGGCAGTGGCAGTAGAATGAGACAGAGCTGCCTCACTGCAGCCTTTCTAGCAGGGGGTATGTGTGATTCATTGTCCAGACTAAAGCCCCTTAGAAACTCGGCACTCCCCTCCCCCAGCCTCTCCCGCCACGGGCAGCCAATGAATGCCACCCGGATGGAATTCAGTCCCCAGAGGCCAGCAGTGGAGCCTTAAGTCCCCAGCTGGGCTGGTAAGCCAGATGCCCGCCTGAGCAGGTGGGCAGGGTCTGCCTGACCGGTAAGACTGGTTCCCGGTTGGGGCCCCTCTGAGGGAGTTCTCCATCCCTGTGTTCACATGCACAAGGTCCTCCAATCCAAGTTAAAACCAGCCTTTTAGGAGAAAAACAAAACAACCCTCTGCTCCCAGACAAGCCCCCAGTTCCCCAACAAGCTAACTAGAAAGTGAACCTACACAGAGATCCTGCCCCGCTTTCTTTCTGTCCTGAGAACATAAAGGGGCTCTGTGGATCCCATTAGGCTCTAGAGCTACCAGGTCAGAGCAGATCAAAGCTTTTGCTTATAAGCAGTAGCTCTGGATGGCCAGCTCTGTGTCCCATGATCCCAGGGTGGTGGAAGAGGCATAGCTGGAGTCAACTGATCAGGATGGCCAGTGTTCCATGTTGGGGAATCTGGTGCCTCAAGAGTGCAGGGAGTCCCAGATGCACTTGTTCCAGTCCCTCCCTCGGCAGCCATTCAAGCGGGGAAGTCGCTGAGGAGCCCAGTCTCCCGCCCCCAGAGGGGGCCCCACGCTTGGTGCCAGAAACACAAAGGGAGCCCAGGGAGAAGAATGGTGAGGTCTGGTGGCTCTGGCCTGAGGAATCCGGCCCCAGGAGAGACCGTAGGGCACACTTAGTGTCAAAGAACTTCCCTGAGGGAAGAGAAAACAGGTCTCGGGCATACCGTCTCAAAATAAGGGCCCTTAAATCACTCTTCCCAAACCTGGCACGGTTCTATCAGGTCAAGTGACCCCCTAAAAATCCCACACCCCCAGTTCTTGGCAGAGGCCTTCTCAGGACTAAGATACATCATGGCAGGGGAGCAGGGGAGGAACAGGGGGCCTTTCCTCACCTGGAGAAGCCTTTCCCACAGCTCTGGCAGATGTAAGGCTTGCCCACAGACCCATCATGAGACCGCACATGGTAGGACATGCGGTCTTTTCTCTTGAACCGCAGCCCACACACAGGGCAGGAATAGGGCTTCTCCCCAGAGTGGGACAGCTTGTGCCGATTGAGATGATACACATCACGGAAGATCTTGCCGCAGATCTCACAAGCAACCTGCTTCCTGGTCCGGCTCCTCTTTCGGGGGCCATCAGGGTCTTCAGAGATGGGTAGCCCATTCTCACCCAGCCTGGGAGGTGGAAGGTCGATGTAGCCCAGCTGGAGGCTGGTGACACCGTGCTGGGCCTCGTGCTGCCGGAGCCGGTTGGCATCAGTGAACACCTTCCCACACAGGCCGCATGGAAGGATGCCTGCCTCCCTCAGGCCCCCTGGAGACCCAAACATTGAGTCCAGCAGGTTGGCCTTCCTTGGGCGGCCCCGGCCTCGCTTGCCAGTCAGGGGAGGGGCACTGGATGCCACACTGGGGAACGGGGAAGTCAGCAGTTGGGGGGATAGGGGTCCAGCCACCATGGGCAAACGGTCCACCCCAGGTAACACAGGCAAGGATGCTTGGCCTGCAATGGCTGCACCAGCCGCCCGAGCTGCCTCCTCCTCTGGCTGCATGCTGCCCGCGATGCCATTGCTGTTGGCTGCCAAGGCTGCCCCGTTGGTCATGTCCAAAGGGAAGCCCAAGTCCGATGTCCCAGGGGGGCGAAAGAGCATGATATCGGCGCGGGCAGGGGGTACCAGGATCTGCACGTTGGACTGTTTGATGACTTCCTGGCAGATCTCGATAACTGACCTCATCAGCAGGAACTTGGCGGCCGTCATGAGTTCGGGAAAGCTCTCCAAGCGCACCACAATGCGGGATGTGTAAGCAAAGTCCAGAATGTCCCCGAATACCTTGGAGCTGATAGTGTGCATCTCCAGCTCCCGGCTGCCCCCGGCCCCGCCGCCCGGGGCTGCCGTCGCGCCCCCCACATCAGCCGGACCCCCGTCCGCAGCTCCGCCGTCGCCCAACTGGGCGCTGAACACCGACTCAAAGTACTCGCTGCAGGCGGCCAGCACGGCGCGGTGCGCTGGGAAGCTCTCATCGCCTACCCGCAGGAGCACGTCGCAGAAGCGCCCGCCGTTTTTGCGCTGCTGGTTCAGGTTGTGCAGCATTTCAGTGCTGTGTCTGCTCACCTGGTAGGTGTAGCAGCCCGACGGGCCGCAGGAAGCGTCGTTCACCCGCTCCATGGCCGCCGCCCCCTCCCACTAGCCCGGCCGCCGCACCTGCCCGCCCCCTCCCTTCCCCTAGGCAGCGAGAAGTGGGGCGCAGCAGACGCGTCCACACTCCCCACACGTGCCGGCCCGGGGCTCTGTAGTCTCGCAGGTGCGCTGAGCGTACACGCCCCCAGCCCGGATCGGACTGTCTAGACTGCGGGGTGCACCACTCCCCGACACATAGCCAACCCTCGCCCTCGCTGGACTGCGCGCTGCTCTCTTCTCTCCGCCCGCCCGTCTCCCCTTCCCGGTCTACCTTCCGGGGGGGTGCGCGAGCAAAGAGGTGCGCCCCTCCAGCAAACGCGCCTGCCACCTCCCCTCCCGCCCGCCAGGCGGCGCCGGCGCGCAGCCAAGAGGGGCACGCGCACGCGAGGAGAAGGAGGGGTCCGCCGCGCAGCCGGGCGCGCGCGCCGCGGCTTTTCCCGGGCCCGCTGGGGGCGCGCGCTGCGTCCCCTGCAAAGCGCGAGCCGGGGCGGGGGCGCCGGAGCGGAGGAAACAAAAGGCGAAGGCGGCGGCGGCGGGGCGCGCACGGGGGCGGCGGCGCGGGCCGGATCCCGGAGCCTGGAGGGCGGTGGCGGTGGCGGCGGCTGGAGCGGGCGGGCGGCGGCAGCGGCGTCAGAGTGGGCCCTTCCCCGGGCCGGGAGAAGGCAGTGGCGGAGCGGCGGCGCTGCGGCCCCGGACTCCGTGTGTTCGGAGCGGAGGAAAGATGGCAGCGGCTGCACTTCCTCTTGCACTTTCACCCCTGGGGGGAGGAGAAGGAGGGGGCGATACCAACAACACCCCCCCCTCGCTTGCAGAAAAAAAAAAGAAACAGCGAGCTCGGAGTGGGGGCCCCCGGCGCCCCGGTCCTTGCACGTGCGCGCCCGGATGCCTAGCCCGGGCCGCCCTGCGCTGCAAACTTTCCACTTTCTTTGTGCCGAGCGCCCCCCCCACCAAGCCGAGGATGCACGTCCCCCCTTCCCTATTTATACACCCCCCAGCTCCGCTCCCCCCGCTTCCTGCCCCCCCTCCCCATTCCCCAGCTCCGCCAATGCTAGAGCAGCCTGAGCCCCCGTCCGGCCCCCGCCTCCCCACCCCGCCCGCGGGGCCGGGGGCTGCAGTCTCAGTCCCCCCCGGACCAATGCAAACGTAGCGCCGAGCCAGCAAACCAGCTCCCACTGCCCCTCCCCTGCCCGCTGAGAGTGGCGGCGAGCGGGGGTTGGGGGGGCAGGAACTGAGGGGTGCGGATCCGGGCCCCCCAGCCTGCGATGCGCCCTAGCAGGTCGAGCGGGCGTCGTCCACGCTTCGGAGCCCCGCTTTCATGCGCGAAATCCCCAGAAGTCGTCTGTGACCGCCTCCTTGCTTCAGACACCAGAGAGGGCCCGGGGTCCTGGCCGGAGTCAGGCCGAACCTCCGGAGCTGCTTCTGCACCCCGTACATTGACCGAACTGACGGGCTGCGAGCCCGGAAGAGCTGGGTAGATGAGGCCAGCGTCCAGCTTCTCCCCCAAACCACAGCACGACGAGCTTTGTCCCTGGGGAGCGTGAAGTCACCGGCTCCGGGAGGCAATATGAGGGCGAGGGACGGGGCAGGGAGACCCAGGGGTCCTCAGGGAAGTGGGGGTGCCGGAGGAGTCGGGGACACCCGCGGGCCTCTCCAAGCCCGGAGCATCCCCTGCGCCCGCAGCCCTGTGAGACGCTGGGTGCTCTGGCCATGGGCTCTGCCGCCAGGCCTCGGCGCTTTGTCCCCGGCCCGCCCGGGGATGCTACCGCGCTAGAGTTGGACTCCAAGGTTTGCCTGCCGGGGAAGCGCTGGCGGCCGCCGCCTGGCGCGGAGCCCCAGGCTGCAGGCGCCGCGTGTGCGGGCGGGAAGTTCCCACAGTTGCAAAGAGGGAGCGAAGTATGTGTTCCAAACTTTCCACGGTTCCAAACTGAGCGCTTCCATTAAGAGGAGCGGTGTGCGGGGGAAAAGCATTCTGGGTATTAGCATGCAAATGAACGGGCTCGGCTTCCAACTCCGCTCGGAATTCCCACCGCTACGCGCGGAGCTCGCGCCCAGCCACGCGCGCCCTGGGGCTTCCGGGCGTTGCCCTGGCGGATGGTCCGAGTTCAAATTCGAGACCTCTTCGTTCTGGTTTTGTGTCCTGGTGCTTAGTCACTTGGCCTCCGTGAGATTCATTTAAACTGTTTCTTAATCTGTACACAGTGACAACAGCACCTGTCTTGCACACCTATGCTCTAGGGCACAGTATATGCCAAACGCCTGTTGCAGATAATGAATGAGCCTTAAGAGACTAAGTTTCCTGAACCTGAAGCCGGGAGATCTGTGTTCTAAGCTCAAACTCACTGTCACCTTGGGCTAGTGCCTCCCTCTCTGAGCCACAGCTTTCTTGGGCAGGTTTTGGGAACCGGCACATTTTATTTTCGAGAGAGCTGCTGGGAACATCCACAACAAAAGAGAAAGGGGTTTGATTATTGAGTGTGCAGTGTATACGTATACACATCGTCTCTCCATGGTAGGTATAGATATTCCCATTCTACCATTGGAACTGGGGAAGGTGAGTGACCCGCCCAAGGCCACACAGATAGTGATGGAGCCAGGATTCAAACTGGTTAACTGCCCCTTCTCACCAGTTGGCTTCTGAAACCTGTCACCCGTCCATGGCTCCACTTGAACCAGGAACTGGCTCTCTACCTGCCATGCTTAGAAAACAGGGTGCCATGACTGACCCCATTTCAGCGGCTTCACCCTGTGAAGATGGGTTCATAGTGTGCTCTCAGGACCCTCATCCCATGGTGCTCTGAGGAAGACAGAACGTGCATCAGCCCTATTTTGCAGATAGAATGCCTGAGGCTCAAGGAGCCAGAGTGACCCAGGATCCCACCTTGTGGAAGTGGCCAGAGACAGTCCAGATGCCGTTCTGACCCCATCTGGGAGATATTTTCCAAATGTCGCCTTGGCAGTGTTATTGTGGGGGTGGGAATAACTTCTCCGCTTCATCCATTACGCCCTGTCTTGCCCATCTCTCAGGCTTCCAGGAATTCCATTATGTAACTTCAGGCTTCAAAGCATGCTTGCAGAATATGGTTTTTGTTCTTTGAGGTAGCATACACATGACATAAAAATAACAATTTTAAAGTGTGTAATTCACTAGCACTTAGTACATTTACAATGTTTTGCAACCACCAACTCTATCGAGTTGCAAAACAATTTTATCATCCCAAAAGAAAACCCCATACACGTTAAGAAGTGACTTTCCATTCCCTTCTCCCTCCATCCCATGGCAACCACCGATCTGCATTCTGCCTCTATGGATTTACCTATTCTGGATTATTTATTTATTTATTTACTGAGATGAAGTCTGTCTTTGTCACCCAGGCTGGAGTGCAGTGGCACAATCTCAGCTCACTGCAACCTCCACCTCCTGTGTTCAAGCGATTCTCCTGCCTTAGTCTCCCAAGTAGCTGGGATTAAAGGCGTGCACCATCACGCCCATAAAAATGTTTGTATTTTCCCGGGCGCGGTGGCTCAAGCCTGTAATCCCAGCACTTTGGGAGGCCGAGGCGGGTGGATCACGAGGTCAAGAGATCGAGACCATCTGGGTCAACATGGTGAAACCCCGTCTCTACTAAAAATACAAGAAATTAGCTGGGCATGGTGGCGCGTGCCTGTAATCCCAGCTACTCAGGAAGCTGAGGCAGGAGAATTGTCTGAACCCAGGAGGCGGAGGTTGCGGTGAGCCGAGATCGCGCCATTGCACTCTAGCCTGGGTTAACAAGAGCGAAACTCCGTCTCAAAAAAAAAAAAAAAAAAAAAAAAAAGATTGTATTTTTAGTAGAGACGGGGTTTTGCCACGTTGGCCAGGCTGGTCTCAAACCCCTGACCTCAGGTGATTCTCTCCCTTCAGCCTCCCAAAGTGCTGGGATTACAGGCGTGAGCCACCACACCCGGCCTGGATATTTTATTTAGATGGAATTATGCAACACTGTGCATGACCTTTTAGCTATGGCTTCATAATGTTTTCAAAGTTCATTCATGTTGTAGCATGTATAAGTACTTTGTTCCTTTTTATGGCTGGCTGAATGATACTCCATTGTATGGATATACTACCTTCATCCATTCATCCATTGATGGCCTTTCGATTGTTATGGGATAATGCAACTATGAACATTTGTGCACAAGTATTTATTGGAATGCCTATTTTCAGTTCTCTTGGATGTATACCTAGGAGTGGAATTGCTGGGTTATATGATAGTTTTATGTATAACTTACCGAGGAACCACCATACTCTTTTCCACAGTGACTGCACCATTTTACATTCCTACCACCCGTCTTTTTATAAATATTTCAGTGCTGGTCGAACGTCCCATTTTATAAATGATCGTGCTAAGGCCCAGAGAGGTTAAGTAACTTGCCCAAGGTCACACTCTTAGGGTCCAGACTAAAACCAAACTTTCCGAGTTGCTAGCCTTTCAAACACTAAGAGCCTCCCACGTCACCTTTAAAGACCTCGACTACTTGCCCAAGTTTTCATTGATTGATTTGACAAACCTGCCTGGTGAACAACTGACTTAGCTGTATTTATGAAGCTCTTTTTCCCTCAATGTCTGTTGAAAGAACCCACCACCATATTCCTGATTTCTAGGCCACACCTTGAAAACATGCAGAGTTCGCAATCGCTGCATCTGCCTCCTGCTGCCGGCCTGTCAGGCCCTATTCTGTTGCCATGGAAACCATGCACCTCAGTTTTGGCAGCAGACCAGCTGGACAGCAAACTGAGAACATCCTTGTCTCCTAGGCTAAGCTGAGCTGTCAAGGTCATATATTCATTGACTACATTTGTATTTATTGAGCACCTACTAAGCACCAGGCTTTTGTTTTGCAAGATGTTAAGGATACAGCAGTGAACAAGCCAGACCACAGATCCTGCCCTCAAGGAACCCATAGTCCAGAAGAGACAGACAAAAACCAAGGAACAAAAAAGGCTTCACCTAGCTCCCCTCCCTAATTCATATTCTGCCATCCTTTCAGGCTGTGCTCAAATCCACTCCCCTGGACCATCCCCCGCCAGAGAGCCCAGATGCAGGTGATAGCTCCTCTCAGCATTTGCATTGCATTTTTTGTTGTTACTGCTTTTCCCTGATTGCAAATGTGATATGTGCATTGTGGAAAATGTAGGAAACACACGAAAGCACAAAGAAGAAAAATAAAGATCTATAATTTCACCACCGAGAGTTAAGCACTGCCAACATTTCCTTCTGGCCTTTTTCTCTTTCTACTTTTTTTTTTTTTTTTTTTTTTTTTGAGACGGAGTTTCGCTCTTGTTACCCAGGCTGAAGTGCAATGGCGCGATCTCAGCTCACCGCAACCTCTGCCTCCTGGGTTCAAGCAATTCTCCTGCCTCAGCCTCCTGAGTAGCTGGGATTACAGGCACGTGCCACCATGCCCAGCTAATTTTTTGTATTTTTAGTAGAGACGGGGTTTCACCATGTTGACCAGGATGGTCTCGATCTCTCAACCTCGTGATCCACCTGCCTCGGCCTCCCAAAGTCCTGGGATTACAGGCTTGAGCCACCGCGCCCGGCCTTCTCTTTCTACTTATGTATATTTCTGTGATTTTTTTTTTAATTGGGTCTTATTTTACATACTGCTTTATAAAATTGTCTCATTAAAAAGTTTTGTTGGTTTTTGTTTTTGTTTGTTTGTCAGATGGAATTTTGCTCTTTTTGCCCAGGCTGAAGTGCAGTGGAGTGATCTTGGCATACTGCAAAGCCTCCCAGGATCAAGCAATCCTCCTCTCTCAGACTCCCAAGTAGCTGGGACTACAGGTATGCGCTGCCGAGCCCAGCTAATTTTGAATTTTTACTAGAGACAGGGTTTCACTATGTTGGTCAGGCTGGTCTTGAACTCCTGACCTCAAGTGATGCTCCTGCCTCATCATCTCGAAATGCTTCAGCCACTACATCTGGCAAAAAAGCATTTTTTTTCCCAACACATTTTTAAGCTCCCCGAGGGCAGGGACAGGGCATTAATAATAACAAATTTGTTAAGCACTAACCATGCCAGCCATGATGCTGAGAGTACTCCTTGGTTTACCTTCTGGAATCCTCATAATGACCCTATGAGGCACTTACTCTGATGATTCCCATTTTATTGATGTAGAAACTGAGAAATGAGCAGATGGGGAAGGGAGAGGAAGGTCCAAAGCATGCTGAATAGTAGGGCTGAGTGGGGACCTCTACCTGCTCCAGGGGCTTTCAGCACAAATCCAGACTGCCAGGCTTTTTTGAGGACCCGATGGGAGGAGATGATGGAGGGAAACAGGAATGAGGCGCCCTAGTGTCTGCCCCACTTGCCTTTACCCTTTATCAGGCTTGCTTAGAAGGCATGTGAAGCCAACCCACTGCCTTCGCTGTCTTCACTGCCGAGCTCTTTGGCTTCTTAATAGCAATAGCAACAAGACCATTCCTTGAACAATCTTGACACTTCAAGCAGAACAAAGTTCAGGGTTTGGAGCCAGATAGACATAAGTTCAAGTTCCAGGTCTGCCCTTGGTGATAGTTTGGCTTTGAGTGAACAGTGCCAGGAGTTCATTTAACCCCCACAGCCTTCCTCTCAGGGCAGGATCATTGCCCCCTCTCTTTTGTTTTTTCAGAGACAGGGTCTTGCTCTGTCACCTGGGCTGGCATGTACTGTCACCATCATACCTCACTGCAGTCTGGAAAGCCTTGGGCTCAAGTGATCCTCTGGCCTCAACCTCTGGAGTAGCTGGAACTCCAGGCATATGCCACTATGCCCAGATCATTTTAAAAAATGTTTGTAGAGATGGGGTCTCACTGTATTGCCCAGGCTGGTTTCAAACTCCTGGCCTCAGGCAATCCTCACGCCTCAGCCTCGCACAGGGCTAGAATTACAGGCATAAGGCACTATGCCCAGCCATTGCCCCCTTTTTATAAGTGAGCTAACTGGAAAGTTAGGGGATTCATGCAAGCCTGCGTTTGTGAAGGGTATGGTCCAAATAAAGCGCAGATCTCCCTGATTCTAATAGCCAGGTTCTTTCCCCTGCACCGTGAACCTCTTTTCTTTCTAAACAATTCGGTTTCCTTCATGACTGGTAGGCGCAGGCAAATCCTCCAATCGACACGGAGGCCTGGCTCCTTGACCTACACAAGGATCTTTTAGGAGGCAGAGGCTCAGCAGTTCCTGCCTCCTGCCTCCGCCTGGTTTATCTCAGCCCCTCTGTTCTGTGGTCTTCAGGGCCCGACAGGGACCCAGTAGACCACAGTTTATCATCGGCCACGTTTCCTGCCTCTGTGTCAGTAGCAGAGACTTTAACACTCTTCCTTTTTCATTTATCAGGCACAAAAACGAAACAAAGTCCTTAAATGTAAGTTTGTATTTCTATACTTTAACCTGGGAGGATTTCTTTTTTCTTTTTTATTCAGATGGAGTTTTGCTCTTGTCACCCAGGCTGGAGTGCAATGGCTCGATCTCAGCTCACTGCAACCTCCACCTGTGAGTTCAAGCGATTCTCCTGCCTCAGCCTCCCAAGTAGCTGGGATTACAGACATGTGCCACCACACCCAGCTAATTTTTGTATTTTTAGTAGACATGGGGTTTCACCATGTTGGCCAGGCAGGTCTCAAACTCCTGACCTCAAATAATCCACCTGCCTTGGCCTCCCAAAGTGCAGGGATTACATGTGTGAGCCACCACAGCTGGCCCAGGATTTTTTGTGTGTATGCCAGATTACCTGAAGGAGAGAGAGTCAAGGTATCACTGGTGACATGGGGCCAGGAAGCATGGTCACACACACACACATACATGTGAAAGGCAACTGTCTAACTGAAGAAAATCAGCTACACATTACAGAGAAAGAATATCCAGAAGTGCCTTAAGATCTTCCTGGCAGAGATGCACTATGGGGACTTGGTGGTCAGACATTTCAGCTTAGAGACCACGAAACGATTCCTTTAGCACAATTACTGCCTGAAAAATTGAGATAATGCCCATGCCGAACTGTTTCCACGAGTTAACTGTGAACAAGATACAGTGTGCCTTACTTGGCACCTAAATACTCAATTTTTTTTTTTTTTTTTTTTTTTTTTTTTTTGAGACAGAGCCTTGCTCTGTTGCCCACGCTAGAGCGCAGTGGTGTCATCTCGGCTCACTGCAACCTCCACCTCCTGGGTTCAAGCAATTCTTATACCTCAGCCTCCCAAGTAGCTGGGATTACAGGCACATGCCACCGTGCCCAGCTAATTTTTTTTATTTTTAGCTAGAGACAGGTTTCACCATGTTAACTAGGCAGGTCTCAAACTCACAATCTCAAATGATCCACATGCCTCACCTCCCAAAATGTTGCGATTACATGCTTGAGCCACTGCGCCTGGCCAATACTCAATAAATCTTCATTTCAGCCTCACACCCTATATATTAGAAAACCCTGATAAATACTATTTTTATTTTTATTTTCATTTTTTTTTTTGAGACGGAGTTTCGCTCCTGTTACCCAGGTTGGAGTGCAATGGCACAATCTCGGCTCACTGCAGCCTCCACCTCCTGGGTTCAGGCAATTCTCCTGCCTCAGCCTCCTAAGTAGCTGGGATTACAGGCACGTGCCACCATGCCCAGCTAATTTTTTGTATTTTTAGTAGAGACGGGGTTTCACCATGTCTACCGGGATGGTCTCGATCTCTTGACCTCGTGATCCACCCGCCTCGGCCTCCCAAAGTGCTGGGATTACAGGCTTGAGCCACCGCGCCCGGCTAATACTATTTTTAAAAGACACCAATTGTCTTCTCTGATTTGATTTATGAACCTACTGCAGAGAAAGGCAGAGATCTTCAGCTAAGGCCAGAACTACACATTTCACCAAATTCCTATAAGTAAATTCTATTATTCCCACTTTATAGACTGAAAGACTGGAGCCAGCAGATTAGAAATTTGCCTACAGCTAGGCATGGCAGCTCGACCTGTAATCCCTACTCGGGAGGCCAAGGCAGGAGGATCATTTGAGAGTAGGATTTTGACACTGCAGTGAGCTATGATCCTGCAGCTTGGGCAACAGAGCGAGACTCTCTTAGAAAAAAAAAGAAATTCGTATAATCAGACATAAAGAGCCCAAGCTGTGATCAGAAGCACATTTGTAAGAGACCAGGAACCACGGTGATAAGGACTGTATAAGACTTTGTTATGCTTTGTAGCTCACCCATGTTTGTTCTTTTCCTGGTTTCTTTCGCATTAAGTGTTTAAAATCCTTCAAAGAAGGCCAGGTGAGGTGGCTCACACCTGTAATCCCAGCACTTTGGGAGGCCAAGAAGGGCAAATCACCAGGTCAGGAGTTTGAGACAAGCCTGACCAACATGGTGAAACCCCGTCTCTACTAAAATACAAAAATTAGCCAGGTGTGGTGGCACGCGCCTGTAATCTCATCTACTCAGGAGGCTGAGGCAGGAGAATTGCTCAGTTTTTAAAAAGGCAGTCTCAGCTTAAAAAAAAAAAAGAATCCTTAAAGATTAATTAAACATTTTTAGGCTAGGCACGGTGTCTCATGCCTGTAATTCTAGCACTTTGGGAGGCCAAGGCAGGCGGATCACCTGAGGTGGGGAGTTTGAGGCTAGCCTGACCATCATGGCGAAACCCCCATCTCTACTAAAAATACAAAATTAGCCGAAAGTGGTGGCAGCTACTCAGGAGGCTGAGGCACGAGAATTGCTTGAACCCAGGAGTCAGAGGTTGCAGTGAGCCGAGATAGCTACATTGCACTCCAGCCTAGGTGACAGTGTGAGACTTTGTCTCAAAAAATAATAATAATTTAAAAAACAGGGATCAATTAGCAAATTGTAGGCTACCACACCTGCCACTACGTCCAGCTATATTTTGTACTTTTAGTAGAGACAGGGTTTCGCCACGTTGACCAGGCTGGTATCAAACTCCTGACCTCAAGTGATCCGCCAGCCTTGGACTCCCAAAATGCTAGGATTACAGGCGTGAGCATTTAAATGCTCTTCCAGAGAGATGCTGTCCCAAATACCCTAAGTAGTTCAGTCCTTTTGTTACTTTTCCAAAGGAACTCTATTACCTTTTGCCTTTCACAAGTGATCCCAAAGTCACTCCTGCTCTCTAGACCTTGGCACAGACACAGACTCCCACACTGTAGGTACTCAGTACATTTCATGTTTGTTTAACTGACATGACCTGAATGGAGAGCCTGCAAGAGCTGAGCAAGGATGACTACATTAGGCTGTTCTTAACATTGCTATATCCCTCGAGGTAATAGTTATCTCTCTCTTTTTTTTTTTTTTTTTTTTGAAATGGAGTCTCACTGTTACCCAGGCTAAAGTGCAGTGGTGCAATCTTGGCTCACTGTGACCTCTGCCTCCTGAGTTTGAGCGATTCTCATGCCTCAGCCTCCCAAGTAGCTGGGATTATAGGCATGTGCCACCACGCCAACTAATTTTTATATTTTTAGTAGAGACAGGGTTTCACAATGTTGGTATTGAACTCCTTACCTCAAGTGATCTGCCTGCCTCAGCCTCTCAAAGTGCTGGGATTACAGGCGTGAGTCACTGCACCCAGCCAATGGTCACCTCTTAAATTGTTTTCTTTTCCACTAGACAGAGGCTCTGATAGCAGGGACCCTAAATATCTTGTCCCCACAGCATCTCCATTGCCCAGCACGATGCATGGCACACAGAATTCTGACACTCATAAATACTTGTTGAATGAATAAATGAAAAAAATGATTTTTGTCTCTAAATTGTCAGATATTTCACTAACCACCATTAGAGCTAACCTAACATGGGAAGGACCTAGTGTTTTCAAACACTGCTGCTGGAAGGCTGAATTAGTAGTTTTCTTTTTTCTCTTTTTTTGAGACGGAATCTCCATGTATTGCCCAGGCAGGAATGCAATGGCTCGATCTCAGCTCACTGCAACCTCCACTTCCCGGGTTTAAGTGATTCTCCTGCCTCAGCCTTCTGAGTAGGTGGGACTCCAGGCTTACACCACCATGCCTGGCTAATTTTTGTATCTTTAGTAGAGACAGGGTTTCGCCACATTGGTCAGGCTGGTCTTGAACTCTTGACCTCGTGATCTGCCCACCTTGGCCTCCCAAAATATTGGGATTACAGTGTAAACCACCACGCCCAGCCATTAGTACAATTTCCTAGACAATGATTTGAATATATCAAGGCTTTTGAATAAAAGCCTTGAAAATATGCTTACCCTTTGACACAGTCATTTCATTTGTAGAAATCTGATAAGTACATCTGTGCTCCAAGATGTAGATTTGCCAGAGCACTGTTTTTTTTTTTTGTTTTTTTTTGTTTTTTTTGAGACGGAGTTTCGCTCTTGTTACCCAGGCTGGAGTGCAATGGCGCGATCTCGGC